TTTGACTTTCACTTCTTAACTCTCACAAACTCCTGGGATGTGTCATGGGAAGTGTCTGATTTTTCTCAGGTTTACACTTAAAGTAGCTGTTCTGTCTCAGCCCTTCAGGCTTCACTTTGATACACTTTGTTACAGGATAAGCATAGTTTGGGCCTTAGATCTGCAGTGTTACACCTTCAGAGCATGTTTTGGGATGGGCAATTAACTGGAAACACAAGGAATTTGAATCCTGTGACTGTTGAGTATTTTCTCCTGTGAGGCTGTTTAAAAGTGTATTTCTGTACTGAGGAATAACTGTGAAAAACAGTTGGTAAATATTGAGCCTTCATTAGTGGGAAGTACAAAAAAATGATCATCAGAATAATGCATTTGAGAGAGTAATTCTGACTCCAGTAATTGCAGTGCAGGAGCCTTATTGTCTGGTTTCATTAACTAAGTAAACAGCTTGTAGTGTAGGTTTATTACATGTGGACTCTACTGTAGCATCAGCTTTTCTGGTCATTTTACCTTTTAGCTAGAGGGGGAAAGAGATACAGATAGACAAACCTTCTTGTACACATTTAGTATTCTAAGTCCTCTGCCCTGTACCCACAGGGCTAAAAAAGTTTCTAATTTTTTCCTTACTAAATTAGTGAAAGAATAAGGAACTAATCAGCTCAGTAACTACAATAAAAATGCAAAACGAGTTTTGATGACAGATATTAGATTTTACTTTGGGCTCACCAGTATGTGTTTATATACAGGAGATTGAAAGACTGAAGAGTGAAAAGCCAACATGGGAGAGGAGACTCCGCTGGGAAGGGATGAAATCAGTTTTTGGGGGTCAGCCTTCACTCCTGTGGATCAATCCCTTTGCAGGATTTCGGATCAGGCGACTTCTACTGAGAGGAAAGAAAGGAGGACCTGAGTTTTCTGTTTGAGCCTAAATATGCTGGAACTTGCAAGAATTCTATATAATATTTATTTTGGGGCCAGAGAAGGCTGTCTACATATAATCTGTGACCAGGTGAAACTGATATCAGACATTTGCTTGTAGCAAGCAGAGTTTTCTACGTTTATTGTCACAGACATCTCATTAATTCAGAGACAGGAACTGGATCTGCAATGGTCTGAACAGCAAGATACCAGAGGAAAAGCACGTGGTCACACTAAAGAAGCCAAATGTTGTCATGCTACTGTAATTTATTTTATGAGATTACTTACCCATTTTTTGTTAAACCCTTTTTATTTGATAAATGTTTGGGGAAATTACCTGTGTGTTTTTATAAGAAGTATATCCTTAGGTGCAGTCGTCAATCAGAGGGAGGAGCATTAGGGTGGAAGTTGATCTCCAATGAGACTTAGCCTTCTAAATCCAGATTTCAGGGAATAGTGCTTTGTTCAGTTCTCATTTTTCAGCTTGTCCTAATAAACAGAGCTGTACTCCTGTGTCCCTCTCCAGGCACACATTCCTCATATGCAAGTGACTCCAGGGACTGGTGCCCAGCACTGCACAGCACAGGCACTGTCACCCCCTGCCCAATGTCTTCCCAGGCTCACTGAAGCACGGCTGTGGTTGGCACTGTTCATCTCCTCTGGCATTTTGGGAAATGCTAAATCTTCCCTGAACAACTCCTGGCTGTGGGCCAAACCCTGCCCAAATCCTTAAATCATTGATTCCAGGGGAACTGGATGTGGATAGTTTGTGTCTTAGGCCTGTGCAGGGATGAGTGGGACCAGTGACCGTATCCTGCTGTGTGAGATTGAAAGAGTGTACTGCAGATGGAGGGAATTCACTGAAAACAGTTGTCTTTGTATGGTCTTGCTCTGCCCCTTTTTTATTGTACAGACTTTTCTTAGAAGGAAAGGTGTTAATGATCCCTTAGACAAAGACATCAGGGGAATGAGGGAAGTTGCCTCTTTCTCAACTTCAACGAATCTTAAATGTAGAAACGTCTGCAATAGAACAAATTATTTTGAATTTAACCATTTCCAACCAAAACTACTCTGAGGAAATGAGAGCAATATAGATCTAGAACTGCTTTATGTGGGCCTGACAAACAACAGCAGTGCTAAGAAATGTTCATAAATCTGCAAGTAATGATAATACAAGCTGCAAGTAATGAAATTCAGATAAAAGTGGATTCTTTAAAAATTACATTTAGACTATTTTTTTGTATTACTGTTAATCTATAAATCACTGACAATATAAAGGATAAAGCAGGAGCCTTGATGCATAGCTTGAAATCGTGCCTAGAAAGTAAATAGCTCCCTGTTTTGGGACTTGCCTTAAAATTGTCCTGTTCTTGCTTTTGCTCAGCCAGTAGCACTGATGACCTGTCCCACCTCCAGCAGTTCCACGTGCTGAAGAATCTTGCATTACAATGTTTATGCACTGCACAAGCTGTACTTTCTTTTTTCAGTGAGCTGCTTCTCCATCTCTCTGTAACAGTTTGTGGCATCTTGATTCAGCTTCATCAGGTTTTGTACTACTGGGTGGGTGAAATTCCCGAGGGATCCATGGATTATCTACGGCCCTGTGAACAAAACTGTGCAATATTATGGAATATGTTCACTTTGCTGGGGGAGGGGGGATGGTGTGTGATGCTGGAGAATTCCTAGGTGGAAATCCACTGGAATTGCAGTCAAAAGAAGAAAAAATGTGTCTCGTGTAGCAGAGGGGAAAGCTGGAAGTGCCACAAAAATTTGTGCATATTCAGTTGCACACCTTAAAAGTTTGGGCAAAAAAAAAATGTGTCTGGCTTTATCATGAGGCTCTTAATGTGTATATTGTTTAATGATGGAAATCAGAAAATATCACTCCAAGCAGTTAAACCCTGTGACTTAGCAAGTGTGTGTGTGTGTGTGTGTGTGTGTGTGTGTGTGTGTGTGTGTGTGAAATCCAGGTTACTTGGCTTTTCAAACCCTTCTGTTGTAATTTTTTTAATGTAAAAAGAAAATAAACTAATTAATTGAAGTCTTAGTTGATTAACTTCTCTATATGTCACTTTTTTTGCACATCTGTGTTCATATTCACATGTATTTAGGCTGAACAACTTCAGGGTAATTGTCTTGCATCTTTTGGCTTGTAGTTTGTATTTCTTTATATCAAGTGACAGGTGATATTCCTCCAAATTAAAGATGCTCCTCTGCTTATTAAGGGGATTAAGCTGCACTTAGCTCTTGGGCATTTCCTTTCCTGCATCCTTGTTTTATAGAACCATGGAAGGTTTGGGTTGGAAGGGACCTTAAAGATTGTCTTGTTCCATCCCTGTTTGTCCGAGGAGAGTGGGAAAACATGGGAAAACTTAGAGTGGTATTTCAGGCTTTGCACTTCCAAGGTATTTGTGTGAAATACAGATTTGGATTCCCCTGTTTGTCTGTGCAAATGTTGGCTTTTTCCACTGGTTCTGCAGCTTCAGGTGCAGGTTAGAGAGGAGCAGCTCACAAGTGTCCACCCCAGAAGGGTGAGAGGAACAAGGTTTCCAACAGTGAAGGATGGAGAGACTGGAAACAGTTTATTTCCCATTTGCTATAATTCTAAAAAACACTGGGATATGTTTTCTGGGTCTGATATCACACTTTTCTACACTGCTGTTTCTATGGAGAAAATAGCTCCAGAGACACACACACTTTGTGCCACTGCTGCTTGTGTTTATAAGCAGGTTAATGATTCGATGATGTTTGTGTGCCACAACAGTCGGGCTGGGCTGTGTTTACTTATATTTTAGGGAAGAGCTTGTTTACTCTCCAGAGGGAACAGACGTCTCTGCAGATGGATCCTGCCAATTTATCTCCTTTTTATTTTCTTGTTTAATTTCCAGTAGTAACGTCAATATTGTTTCGTGAACCCTGGGCAAGCAGCAATTCATTTATGGGCTATTTTATGCCCTCCTGTGTGCAAATGTTGTGTTTCTACAATTGTTCTTACTTCTTTTAGTTGGTACCATGGTCATATGTGAATGTATTTAATGCTACTGGAGAAGGAAAGTGGCTTAAGGGGTTTCGAAATACAGAAACTGGACTGTAAAATGATGATGGAATATGTTAATAACACTAAAACAAAGTGCACCAGCACTGGTTCTGTATATTTTTTTAAGTGTTACTCTTCTGAACAGTTACAGGTCAGTTCGTGTGATGTACTTTGTGGTTTAATGTGAGTTGGTGCTTCTTCATTGATGAAATTAATTTTTTATTTTGCTTCTTTCACTCTTTTTTTTGTGTGAGTGTGTGTTCTGAATGTCTTAATTTATTTTAGCCTTTCCTCTGTGTTCTAGTAGCACATGTGCTACTGTAAAGCACATCACTCTTGTCATACCCAATTAGAGCTCTGGGAAACAGCCAAGAGGCATCAAAGCAATCACAGGCTTAGTGTCTTAATAACATAAGTGAAACTTTGCACCTCCAAAATATTGCTGCAATTTCTCTTTCAATACTGTAGTGCAAGATAAAGTTAATGTAAGATCTAAATTCAATGTTAATGAAGCCCAATATTATAACTGGCAAGGAAACAGATAACTTAGAAATAGGTAAGACTTTACTACCTGACATGCACCATTCTCATAAGCAGTGGCATCTTGCCCAGCCACTGGAATATTCTTAAATAATGGCTTGGAACCTCTTTTGTGAACAAAATCATGATTCTAATAAATCTAATGAAATAGTCACTTCCAAGGTATGTTTGCATAAGAACATTGGTTTGATTTACAGTGGGGTTTGACATAGGGAAGCCAGAAAGGGGTTTTTGCTGTGAATCTATTTTGGGCCTTAATGGAGTAAATTATTCTTGCTGCAACCAGCTGAACAGTGGGGGCTGAATCTGATATCCACTGGTTCCTGGACAACTTTATTCTATAATATCTTAGATTGTTAACTCCATCAGTCTCAGTGAAAGCTGGGCTTTGCAGCCATAGATGATTCTTTTTTATGAAAAATAAATCCCAAAGCTATTTGCATTGGAGAAATCAGTGGAGAACCTCGGGAAGGGTTTTGAATGAAAGACAAAAGGCAAACTGTCCATATGAAATATGAGAATATGGAATTTATTTCCCCCCTAGATTTATTTTCTTGCCATTAACGAGTATAAATGTACATTTAATGTCTTGAAAAGGAATGTAATCGACCCGCTGGAGGAACTGGGAGCAATGTTGGCTCGGTGCAGTTGCATCTGTCATGCAGTAGGAATGCTTCCAGGGGAACCTGCTTTCCAGACAGGGCTGTTTCAAATGGAAGTTATCAGCATATAATGTCAGATCAAATTCATCACAGGCAGGAGAAAAATAAAACATTGTGATCCAGGTGAAATTCAACCCAGTCTTTGATGGTTTTCAGATCTCTCTGGTGCTGTAGAATGGCAACACTAAATATCTCCCCAAGGAATGAATACTGAGTGTTCCACTTCTAGTGGAAGTTCAGCTGCTCCTCCCAACTTCTCTTTCAATTGATAAGGTCCCATTTCCATGGTGTTCTCCCCCAAGGAGCTCCAAGTGCTTCAAAAAGCCACCACTGGGCACCATCATCTCAGTTTTGCCGTGAACAAGGCCATGCGTGGGTTGGGATTTTATCCAGTGGGACAGCACCAAGAGTTTTCCATCATGTCCTGATGTTCAGTGTGGCCACTCCTGCTCCCTCCAGAGCTGTCTGACAGAGGTCATTGTACAAATGAGCGTAAGTTTTGTAGAACTCTGATACTCTGCTTTCCAATGACGTCCCATTCATTAAAATCCACTCCACAACACAAATACCAGGCTTTAGGAACACTTGAGGCTGTACAGTCATGGTTGGCCTTATTTAACCAGTTGTAACATGGTTAATGGTTGGCCACCTACCACTGATTAAGTTTTACATTAAGTGCATAAACACCTAATGTTTTAAATACAAACAGTTTCTTCGAAGTGGTTCATGGAAGATCTGCCTCTTCCTTTTTTGGCTAATTTTGAGCTCTGAAGTTTAGGTTGCAGATACTACAAAGAAACAGGAAACTACAGCAAAATCATACCTGTGTCCGGGGAAAACGTGTTTTGGGGCATTTTTTGTTATGTGTGTTGCACAAGGCAGGGATTGGGTAAGTCAACAGTTCCCTGAGCTGAGGGTTTCCCAGACCAGCAGCCACAGAGTGGGGCGGAGATCATTGCTGCCCTCTTGGAGCTGTGTTAGAAGTGCTCACAAAGTAGAAGGTCCATCAAAAGACTTACAACTGGGCTCCACATATACTGGGAATGATGGAAAATGACGAAATGTTGGCATTCCTGATCATAAATAATAACTAACCAGCATTAAATGTTGGCTGGCCTGTGTGGAACAAGGCACCTCTGTGTGGAATAAGAAACATTTGGCCTGGTAAAGGTTATGAAGATGTTCCTAAAGCTTAACGTGCAGCAGGAGAAGGGAGTGTAATTAAATTTTTGATGGGAATAGACCTTTCCATAGCAATTCTGGACATGCTGTACATGTTAGTGATTACCAGGAGCTGTGCAAGGCACTTGTTTGGATGAAGAAAGTGGCTTTAAAAGGGTCGTGACCACACCAAGCAAGGCGATAACAAACGCAATCAGAAGCCCTGCTCCAAAGAGCTTTCAGTCTTGGTCCTGCTGGGAAGAGCATGAACCCCAATCCCTTGTGCAAAGGTGGTGGGAATTCTCAAGGTGAGGATGCTGCTGCAGGCTGGGACCTGGTGCTTGAGTCACAACTGGGACAGGGGGTGAGCGACGGGTCCGGCTGCGGGCAGGGGGGTGCTGTGCTTTGCCTCTGCAAAGAGAAAGGGCCCGTTTCACTGTCAGCGTGGTTTCCACATTGCTCCCAGCTTCTCCTTCCACCTCTCCCTATAAAATCTCCTGCTTGGGCATCACTGTCTGAGGCAAGAGCTGTGCTACAGCGCTGGGTCCTGCGCTAGGGCCTAGTTTATAGTCTTCACTGCCTGTGCTTGTAGAAGGAGATGGAAGGGATGTTTCAGGAGATGCTGTGGGAGAGAAAAGAAACAGAATTAATGAGGACTTGGACGCTGTTTAATAGAGCAGAGCCCAAACGAAGTCAGCAAACCATACTATGAACCAAGGAGCAGGAGTTTGGGGGATGGGGCAGGGGGATCCATCCCAAATTCAGGCATGTTCTGGCATATTCTTCCTTTCTGGTTTGTGAGGAGGCACAGGGTGGGCTGATAAGCACGTGCCAACTCTTCTCAGTATTTTGAACCTGGGAGATGCCTGCAACTGCTTTTAAATCCTTCCTCTCCTCATCAGAGGAGAGCTCAACCTGCAGGCCACTGTGCAGCATTTCCAAAACACAGCATCTCCCTAACCTGTGCTGTAAGGTGGCTTAAAAAAACTAAATAAACACAACCTAAAATACATGATGTCAACATTTATATGGCAGAGAAACAAAATACATTACAAGAAACAAGAAACAAAAATACCCTACAAGAAACAAAAATACCCTACAAGAAACAAAAATACCCTACAAGAGGTATATGACTGTAACTGGCAGAAGGAGACTGTGTGTGCAAGACATTGTGATTATATGGCAGCAGTTGTTGAATTACAACTCCTGTTCTACTTTCTTTTTTTAACAGCATGGTCCTACAGTGGACAAATGCCTTAACCAACAGCCATGGCCTGGCAGCAGTGCCCAGGGTGGTTGAAGATAGTCTTGTATTCAGTTTGACAACAACCAGCTTTACACAGGGAACTCCTGCCACTAATAACTACATGTCCTGTTTTGTGGCATTTCCCAGTGCTGCCCACAACCATAGAAACACACAGTCCCCAATCTTGATTTCTTTTTTTTTTTTCCTACCTTGTGATGTTTTAGTAACATCTCAAAATCTCTCTGGATCGTGCTACCATGTGAAAATCCCAGTTTCTCTTTGGAAGCACGGAAAGGAGTCAGCCAGAGGGGCTGTGAACTTTTTCCCATATAAATAAACTTAAATATCTTTTCCTTAACTGTTTCTCCTGCCCAGCCCCTTCGTTATGCTGACACCAACAATGTGAAGATGGACACCTACGGTCTGGAGCTGTGTGAATCACAGAGTTCATGTTGCTTGGGAGGACGTGTCCTGGCAGTGGTTCCAGGTTGAGGTTGGGAGGTCCTGACTGGTACTGGACATCAACCGTGGTTCCTGCAGAGGAAGTGGGAAAAGACATCATTCTTTGCATAGTTACTGAGAAACCAGATGCTCTGGGCTAAATCTTCTTTATTGAGAGGATGTGGAAGACCTCTGTGGGTGAAGGTTAATGGCTCATCTTTGCTTCCTTCCTGCTCTGCTGCCCTCTTTGCTCTCAGCCTCTCACTGTCTAGGAACAACCTCCTGGGATGTCTGGGTTTTCAACTAATATCCAGCCACATTGTTCTTCTGTCTGTGTGTGTGTGTCCCAATTGCTGCTCTTATCAGGGTTCCCCATATAGTTATAACTTCTGCATGGTGCTAACAAAGAGTGTTGTCTTCTTGCAAACTACCTCAGTTTGGTAGTGGGCTTAAAAGTCAAGTGCCCCACTGGTGACACACCACAGACAAAACTTGTCAGATTTTTAGAGCTAGACTGGAAAGAACGGGCTCTGGGATTGAACTGGAGTAAGAGAGGCCCATGTTCAAGCCACAGTTCATGAAGTCATAGAATGGTTTGGGTTGGAAAGGCCTTAAAGATCATCTAGTTTCAACCCCCTGCCGTGGGCAGGGATGCCACCCAGTAGATCAGGTTGCTCAGGACCCAACCCAGCCTGGGCTTGGACACTTCCAGGGATGGGGCAGCCACAGCTTCTCTGGGCAACCTGTTCCAATGCCTCACCACTCTCACAGTAATTTATTCTTAATTTCAAATCTAAGCCTACTCTTAGTTTAAAACTATTCCTGTTCTCCCTACCACACATCCTGCAGAAGACACAAACCCAGGCACGAAGCCCTGTAAACAAAAGCTTTGAGATAATCCAGCTTTGGTGTCCTTCCTCAGCAGTGTTCGTACCTCCCAGCAGCATCTCCTGCAGCAGACTGTCGATCCTGGCCACTCCAAAGAGCTTCATGAACTGGACCTGCTCTATCATCTGCCAGGTGATGCTCTGCAGGGGGGGCAGCAGGAGGAGGATGTCGCTGAAGCGGCCCCGGGAGTCGTACTGGCGGTCGTTGATATAATCCTCGAGGTTCACCTGCACCTGGAAGCGCATGTTCTTCACCTTCCCGGGCTCACTCAGGCCTTTGCAGTCTGGGGAGGGGGAAAAGGAAGTTAATTGCTGGCCTGTGTAACCAGAGAAGCGTTGCCCTGTCAGTCAGGCTCTGCAGAGGGAAAAGGATGAGATGCAAGTGATCCTCTGACAGAGTCCAAGATAAGGTGATAGATTAGCATTGGGATATCTCACGTGGAATAGGAAGCAGTAAGGGGAATTTCAGGGGAAACAGTAATTTGAGGGGAAACAATAATTTGAGGAGACTTTGAAGGGAAATGGTAAGAAAATAGAAGCTTGGTTGAAGTGGACATGTCTGCCTACTGCCATTAGTAAAGAGGAAAGATTCAGAAGTTAAACCAAACAACTGACAAGAGGGAAAAATGATACGAAGTTAAATTTTTTGGGGGCCCCAAATTTTCCCCTGAAAACTTTGAGTTCCAACTACTACCACTAAATCCATGCAGTTTTAGAGCCTGTATATGTTGTAATTACACCTTGTGCAACAACAAATTCTTGTCTCGCTCTCCTGTCTTTGACCTGTGGTCAATTCTATTTTTCATGGGTCACTGGTCCAGCTTTGCTCAAGCAAGTAAATGTGACTTTGAGTAGGGTGAAGTGCTGGGATTTACAGCTTTCCACTGCTGTCTCTGCTGGTATCTAAAACTGAAATTTCTGGATCACTGCACCATTTTCTTCACTGTCTACAAAGAAACCACAGGCACCATGTTTTAGGGATCACAGTGCCAAGAGATGAGATAAAGTGCTTAACAAACGACTGTATGTCAGCATGCAGCTCTGAGGATGTGCCTGCTCATTAGCATGAATGAACTTCACTTCTGTAGAGCTTCACAGTATTTCCTTTCAGCTGAAACCTCAGCTCCTCACTGTCACATTGATCTTAAGCTGCACAGAGACACTGATCAGCTGAGAAGGTGATTTGTCAAACTCAATTTGCTAATACCACCCTCACTCTGTTCACTCTTTGGAGAGCTGAAGTTTGTGGTGTTTCTAAACCTCCTGGACCTTGGTTTTGAATCAGCAAACGCAGCAGAAAACAATAATTACTGGAAGATACTCTAATTTCTCCATATTAATAGATGCCAAGGATAAAAGGGCATTGTTCTGGGCTTGGGGTTGTTCCCCTATCTCTTCTCTGAGCTCCAGGGCAATGCATACTGAAGGGACCCCGGTGCTGTAGCAAGAAGAGGTTGTTTGTGTGCTGTAGAAGCAGCAGTGCCTGGGGAGAGCCCAGGCTGAGACAGAACCCCCAGGTCTCTGGAATAAGGATACAGCAAAGCTTCAAAACAAGCTGTTGTTTGCCTCCGTGTGTCCCTGTTCTCTGTCCTGTGTGGATCAGCCCTGCCCTGGGCCAGTGCTGGCTGCCAGCAACATCCATTAGCAGATTCCTGATATTTCTGGGTGCCCTGACCAGCCCAGCTCTCTGTGGTTTTTAATGGTGCTTTCTGGACCCTGACAGAGCTCCACTGCTGCTCTGCTGACTCACTTTGCTTATACATAATTCACTACAGGCATATATGTCCTTAATAGTCATCTCCTGCATTTCAGGCTGATGGGCTTTCCCAAAGCCAAGCTAATGAAGCAGCCAAACTGCTCCAGGGCCTGCAGTCTTGCACATTAGCCTGGCTGGAGTTCTAACTTGCTAAACAGCAAAACACTCAGGAATAGGTCACTTCTGACTGCACTGCTGAGCACTGGCTGTTACAGCACAGACAGGGTGAAATGCAGAGCTGCTGCCAAGGGGTTTTCCTGGTTATTGGAGGGCCCTCAACTCCTCTCCAAGCCCATCTTGGCAGTCAGGAGGAAGCTCACCTGGATCAAAGAAAATGATGGCTTTCAGGCAGGCGTACTCGTTGTCATCGATCTGGATGTCCCGCAAGGGCTTCACCAACTCATCCAGGATTCTGGTGGCCACACGAGCGATTTCCAGTTCTGGGCAGTGCATTGGGATGATGAAATCATTCCCTGGGGAGACAAGAAAAAATCACCATTAGATGTTGGCTCTAGCTCTGCAGACACGGTCTCAGCCAGCAGTTACCCCAAGGTCTGTTTGCCAGCCAGTCCTGGTGCCCCTTTGCAGCAGATTTCCAGTCTGCAGCTTCCTAATCTGATCCCCAGTTGAGAAGCAAGCCATGGATCTCATTCTTTGGTCTTTAATTATCTCATTTGCACATGTCAGTGCATCCACACTGTACACAAAGCCCGCTCCATGTTCTGCTCTGCTTTACCCTCCCTTATATCAAGCACCTGTTTGTGAGCAGTGTTGCGTCTTTATTTTTGGTGTGGGGTTTTTTTTAAACAAATATATCCCTCCCTCTTTTCTTTAGTGTGTGGCTTTCAAGGTCACATTCTCATTTTTCCAAGAGCAACTCCACCCGTGGTTTTGGTGACAAGGCAATACCTATGTGCACTATAATTTTTAATAGACCTTTCTGCTAAGTCTTTAAGGACTGATATCCAAATACCTCGTTGCTTGTGTCTTAGCAATTTCAGTTACAAAAATAAGGCAACACAGTCTGAGATGCCAGTTAAATACTGAGGGGGTTCTCATCCACAATTTCAAAGCAGTAAGGGAAGATTTATAAAAATCCCATTGAATTTTCTTGGTGTTTTTACACTTCTCCAGGCACTTCCCAAGCACTGAGTCTCATCTTGGGTGTGCAGACCATGCCCAGGAGAGGGGATTTCAGGTAGGTAGAATACTTGGCAATGACTTGGGGGAGTGAATTACAAAAGCAGGAGTGGATTTCACTACCTTACCTAACAACAGAAAATCAGTGTATGGTATGGACCTCTTGGCCACCCCAAGGAGCAAGTGCTCCCCTGCATGGGCTCTGAGCAAGGCAACCTGGAGAGGGCACAGAAGAAAGACATAATTAAGTCAAATTTGGTGTTTGCTTAGATATGTCAGATCTACAGATAAAGTACTATTAAGAGCTAGAAAATATCAGAATATGTTCACTTTGAGAAGTGCTACATTCACAGCAAACTAAATAAGAAGTTGTTTTCAGCTAAAAGAGCAAAGAGGGGCTTGAGTTAGTTGAGTCCTTAGGAAATAAACAGCTTTTACATTCAGCTGCCAGGTACCAGCAAAGGGAAAATCAGTCTTTTTTGACTGGGTCCTTTTGCAGACTGGACTGACCAACCCTATTATATTTAGGGGACTTTGCTACTCAAGTTATTTTTAATTGATCCTTTGGCCTTTATTACTCTTTCTCTCCTGTTAGTTTATCGCTCTGCATAGAGTAATCTGTATATTAATGTCAGATTCTCCTGTTGAAAGGTATGGCTGGGAATTCCTATCCAAGGCTGGGAATTCCTATCAAAGGCAGTGGGGTTTTCAGGGAAAAGGCTTTTGCATTTTACCTGGTCATCAAGTGGGAGCTCACAGAATGCTGGGATGTATTTTGCCCATTCCACCAGCACCAGAAGCTGCTGTTTCATGGATTCACACACATCATTGATGGTTGCAACCTTCTTCATGGCAATGTCCGTGCTGTGCACCGGGCTCAGGGATAAATACTGGAAGAGGAACAACCCAGCTGCATTGGGACCAGATCAAAGCTGCTTTCCCACCCTCCAGAGCAGCAATTCATCCTCATGAGGCCCTTGACGAGTCGTTTCCCGCTGTGGTTTCACACCCATCTGCTCAGCAGCGTGTCCTGTCCAAGCACAGCCCCTGGTGCAGCCTCCACGAGGTGGTGCTCGGTCCCAACACACTCCCCTCCCTCCTCTGCCTCCTTCCCTGCTCTCCAGACTGGCTCAGGACAAAAATCTGATTAATATTCCCATTCCTAGCAGCATCAGGGCTCAGCTTCCTATCAATCACTTAACCCAGCCAAATGTATGAAATGCATCCAGCCTTTCTCCTCCAAGTTACTGTCTGGGACACAAAACAGCCTTTTTGATTTCTGAAGGGCTGCTTTGGAGGGGGAGAGGGTTAAAACATCCTTTTTGAGAAGGAAGTGGACTCATTGCTGCATGTAATACTCAACATCTGGACCATATGTTTCAGTGGAAAAAGGGTATTTGCATAAGAATTTAAAGGACACTCAGGGTGAAATTCATGGTGGAACATGAAATGAAAAAGCAATTAGCATTAGCTGAAGCCCAGTGATTTTATTCACATTGTTTTTCCACCCTAAAATTATGACCCTGATAAAGAAGCTATAAGAGAAAATACAATCAACCATCAGGGAAACATTATGTTTGGAGCAGGACAGAGTGTGCAGCAAGGAGGGATAAACTTCCATGTGAATGCCAGGAGTTTTTAGGGGTGCAGCAAAAATTTTAGGATGAGGGAATAGGGGACCCAGGGTCTGCAACGTCCCTAAGCCCTGGAATTTCAGCTTTGTACCTCACACCTCAAAGGCAACAGGGTATCTTATCCTGATAACTCACCAAAGACTTTTCCTGTCTGTTTTGGGGTATCTCTAATGCATTTTCTTCCCTGTGGGTTTGTGCAAGAGCCACAAGGACAGAAAGAAGATCCAAACCCAGTTTTGGCTCATTTTTACCTTGCTTCCTCAATCTCAGGATTATCTTTACCTCAATCATAGGATATGAGTAATTGTAAAAATTGCAACATTAGCTGTTTTGTCTTTCCTTAGACTTTTTCCTCCTTTTCTGTTTCCCAAAGAACTTGATAAGGATTTTTGATTGTTTTCTTTCCTTTTTAATTTAGAATCATTCGACTATGAAGAGGATTCTTTTTTTCTCTGCAGCTGTTCAACTTCCACTTCCCTTTTTGAATTGTAAAACTTAAAAAAAAGAAAAGAGAGATCCTTTCCTTCAACAACTTAAAATACAAGTTCCTTTGTTCTTTGACTGCCCTTCTCTTACAATGAATGCCTAATGATAAAGAACATACTGCCAAACCATGGCAAAGGCTGAACACACACGGCAAAACAAAAAATTGAATTAGAAATTCCACCTCAAAAGGTGGAAAACCCGGATGGTTTAGTGGGTTGGAATAGCTGAAGGCCACGTTTGGAGGGCTGTCCCCACATGTCATACCTGCTGTGCCATGGCCTCAGCCTGGGTGAGCACGTGGATGGAGAGGGAGCCGTTGTCCTCGTAGCTGCTCCTGCGGATGCTGATCCTGTCGCGCTCGTTCTGCACGGCTGGGAAGAGAGTGAATGGTGGTTGTGAGAAAATTCCCCCCACAGCCCATGGCTGCTGCTCCTTGTGGTGCATAAACAGGAGTGGACAAGGCTTTAGCACCTGCAAGACACTCCACTCTTGTTGGATGCTGGAATAAGACTGAACAGGCTCTGAGGGAGGGAGGAGACCAAGCCCGAGAGGGAGATGAGGCCATTTGGGGGTCAGAGCAACACCTGTGGGATATCAGCTGCTCCCACTGGGTTTGATTTAGTGTGAACCCTTTTCACTTGGCAGTGCATCCACAGTGCTGGAGCCCTGGTCTTTGATACCCTTTCTGCCATGTCTGCACTGAGGACTCCTCCCCTGAGCTCCCAGTACAGCAGGATGCTCCTGAGGCTGCAACTCCTCTTACGGCAGCACCGGAAAACTCACCCTCTAATCCCACCTCAAAGCAGCCTTGAAATGTCCCCTGCCCCTAAGGCATCACAGGTGGTGGTCCCAGGGGACATCTCCACCACTCATGGGCAGCAGGAAAAGTGACTCATTAAGGAAGGTCCAAAGAAAGGAAACAAAATTGACTGATTCCCCCTCAAAACCATTCCTTCAGCCTTGCCCTTCATGCTGCTGATTCCAGTGAGCCTGAAACACTGACAGCAATGCTGGGGAACAGACCAAGCCAGGGTTTGTCCCCAGCCCAGCTGCCACCCTCTGCAAATCCCTGGAAAATGAGCTGGAAATCAGCTCAGAGTGTCCCAAACTATTAATAAGAGTGGTACCACAGACCCTGGGCACATTATAGGGACCACAGCAGAGTGAACATCAGCCCAAGCTCTTTGCAGACACAAAGTTATGACCATGCCACAGTGAATTTGAAAATAACCCATTCCACCCTTTAAACCTTCGCTGTCCCTGAAGCACAAAGCCCATCCAGCCCCTTCTCCATCAGCCCTGCACACTGAACATAAGGCATGGATTGCACTTCAGCAGCTTATTTTTGCAACATGGGCTCCAAGAGCTGACTCGCCTCCACTGCAACCATCAAATAACACAGCAGCAGAGAAAAAAGGAGAATTTAGGCACAGTCCAATCTGTTTTCAGCATTGGTTTCTCCCCTAAGCCCGGTTGCCTCTGTCCAGCAGCACACAGGGCTGGGGAAAGGAGCTTGAACACAGACTTGGTGTTTTCCTGACAGCTCAGACATCTTGCTACAGCTCAGAAAGGCAGTTGTCAGGTCCTTAAAGCAGAGGGAGCGAGAAGATTTAGCATGTGGTGATAGAGCAACACATCCCTCCTCCTTCATCCAGCAATTCCAGACTCCTTTGGTTTTATTTAGGAGGAGTGACTCAGATGAGGCTGTCAAAGCACGACTCGCTCTGTGTTTTAACCCCTTGAGTGTAAAACGCTGTGGTTTTGTCTCAAAAGTGGCCACTGGAGAAGATTTTTCCAGGAATGATTTTTTTTTTTTTTTTTTTTGCAGAGTCAACAAAATCATGTTGCCATCATTCTTTTGGGACTTTGCCTCGCTGCTGGGTCTTGTTTTAGAGCATCACTCTGCACAGGACTCATTCCTGGGAATTCTTGCAAAGGAGGACGTGGGCACCCTTTTGCCCAAGGAGGGGGAAGGTGGGTTTTTGTCAGCTCATGTCCAACTGCTGCTCTGTTTTCCTAACCAGCCTCTGATGAAAGGCCAACAAAGTGAAAGGGCAGAACAAGCAGCAGTGACAGAAATCAATATCTCCCCTTATCAGCAGGAGTATTTATTTTCCAAGATTTGGGGCTCAGCCTTGCTGTCAGTCAGGACCTGGCTGTGCCTGGGGGGAGTCTGCTGGGCTCCAGCCACCAAAACCACTCTGTACCTCAGAATCAACCTTGCCCACAAGGGGCTGGATGGTTACATTGATCTGTGACAGAGACAACACACAGACATATTCCTGGAGCCTTTACAAACAATTAGTCATCAATTTAGGGAAAAAACAACTGCAGCCCTCGGGAAGCTCAACTAACCCACCTTAGCACCTCCCTGTGCATGGGGGGTGTTCAGCCAAGGACCCTCACTAGCCTGAAGGTGAGGGTGGTTATAGGAATCACAAGCTATGATTAATCTTTGGAATGGATTAACCCTTCATGGCTTCTATTGGGACACCAGGATGATGGGTAGCAGCACCCAGTGCTCAGCCTGACCAAGTCTGTGTCATCACTGACTTTTTGGAAGCTTCTACACCTGGTTTCATATCAGATGCTCCCCCATGTAGCTCCCAGGGGCTAATGGGGCTCTTTTTGCCCACTTTCAAGAAAAGGTACAAATTTTGCCTTTCCAACTGAGTTACACATGTTATTTTACATAAGCCCTACAGACCCAGGCAGACCCGGTCCCCAGTGAGAGACTCCTTTAAGAAGCCTCAGCCTGTTTTTCTCCCAGATCTTTTTATGGCACATATTTCAGTGCTTCCCTCATGCTCTGATAAGCTCAATCTTCAAGTGTAAGTGGATGGTACAGACCAACTTTCTCAAGGTGATTTGGGTGTTATCTCTGAAAGTACCCAAGACGTGATGGAATTAGATACAAACGGGAGTTAATGTTTTACCTGCCACAAAAATTAATCTATTACTGCATGGTAATTATATTGCTATATTTATTGTATTTGTAAAAAGGAAGGGATAGGTCACTTGTGGTGAGGCAGTGGGAGGGATCAAGGGACGTGCTGGCCCTGGGGGTGCTGGGCTCAGGTGTGATCTTGGCTTTGCATCAATAAAACTCGCAGGAAAGACTAAAACTCTAGCTCTGACTGACTCCCAGGGGCTGCTGTTTCCAGTATGTTTCTGGCAAAAGCTTTGCTCCTCGTTTTTTGTTTCCCCCTAATCTTGTCCTCTGCACATTCCCAAAGCAAATAAACACCGTGAGGGGCCACTGCAGCCCCACAAAAGGGGACGTCAGTGGTTGTGAGTCCCCACGATGATCTGGGCAGGGACAGTGTGTCCCCAAGCCGGGCTTTCCCCTTGGGAATGGAAGAGAGGGTGAGATGATGCCCATGTCTCCCTCCAGGGAATTGTCGTTGCTACAGCACGTCCTGACTGTGGGAAGCAGATAGGAAAACAAACATATTCTCCCTGTGACGTAGAGGAGCCCTCAGAGGGGGTTTGTTGTTCAGAGCAAGGCTGGACCCTCCTGCCAGGAGCACATGAAGGATTCCGGACAAGCTGCGGGACACGCGGGCGGCTCTGAGCAAACAGCGGCGTGTTTGTGGCATTGCAACAAACCCCTGTGCCCCAAACAATGTGTCCTTGCTGCTTTGCCACCCCAGAGCCTGGGATGAGGAACCTCCAGGGAGTCCAATAAATATGGGCACAGGCACTGGCTGGAAGGGGAGAGCAGCAAACCAGTAACTTTCCACGGCAAGTGTGGAGGTCAAAGCCCTGCCTATATGGGAATTAGTGTTTCCATTATTATTCCACTAAAAACATCCTCGTTTAATGCTGGGGGAGTTGGGAATGTATTAATAAATGGCATAGGGAGAGAGTAGGAGGAGGGAGGTGCAATGCCCTGTGCCCTTCATTGGTGCTCACAGTGTTTCTGTCTCCACCAACAGATTTACTGCTCCTGCTGCCTGATTAATTTATATCCACAAATAATCTTTTTTCCCCAAGCTGCCTCAGATTTCGTAGGTGTGGTATGTTTTATTTGCAAATAAATCCCAGTGGTACACACACATTTAATCCTTTCATGGGCTTTTGGGGTGATTTATGACTAATGCAGGTGAAGAAGATCCTTTATCTTTTCCATCCTTCTTTGCAATAAACTGCAGTCCAAGTTTCTGAAAGCTGGCAGAATAGATGTGTAAACAAAAGGTATGAAACAAGCCAGAAGTCTTTCAAAACACTAATAAAACTGTCCTATAAACCTGTCCAATTTCACAAAAATAAATAAAAAATAGCCCCATACCCTCCCACTGTGTTGTGGCAGTAAGTGATACGATAATTCTTTTTACTTCTACATGAAACTAAAGGAATTCATGTACATTCATAAACTACTTTGAAGGGGATGAGGGGTTAAATATTAACCCCTCTTTTTTTTTTTTCCACCAGCAAACTGAATCCTGACAGTGCAGTGCTGGTATTTCAAATGTCTTCCAGGTTTTTACTCAGCTCCATGTGAGGAGATGACCTGGCTCACTTGAGAAATCACATCCTGCTAATTTATTCAAGGTCAAACATGATCTCAATGAGATGCTAAAAATAGTATCCTGCTGTTTCCTTTGTGTGTTTAAGTACCTGGTGTTCCCCTCAGACACTGGTGTTGCAGTGACCACAAACCTGTCCCGTAGCATTGAGCAAGACAATGGAAATCGAACCTTCCGTGCAAAGAGAGAAAACCAGGGAGACCAGCCAGAAAATCCCCCAAGCACCCAGACCTCCCTGTGGCACAGTCATGGCCCTAACCACAAAACAAGGATAAAGGAGGGAATCTGTGTAAAAATCTTAAATCCTCATCTTAGAGGTGTTTCAGGAGACCAGAAGGGGTTTGTGTTCAGGCAAGCTTTTTGCTCTCCCTTTGTCCCAATTCTGATGATTGATATTAAAGTGAATTCCTGGCACCAAAAAACTAATTGGGATAGGAGTGTTCCTGAATGAGCTAATTTCTAAGAAGTCTGGGGACTGGACTTTCCACAAGACTCAAGTTTAGGCCCTATCTTGATCTTGCTGGCACTAATGGAACCTGGGTCCCATCTCAATGCACAAGCTTGAAGGTGTGTCTCATATGTGGGGCAGTCTTGGTCCTTTCCTAAGGTAGGATCAAATTCAAAGTATACAAACTAGGTAATCTAAAGATCCTATTGATAATTTTCTTAACAACATCTGTCCAGCTGCCCCAAATGGCAAACCTCTCCTGACACAGTTTAAAGCTAACTCAGGTATTTACATCACGGGGATTTTTCTTTAGGCAGAAATTTCCCTTCTACCAGGCTACACAGCACCCTGAAAAATCTTATCCACTAGAATTGTTTCCAAAATGGAAATAAAAAAAAACCAGAAAAAAAAGGACGATCCAAAAGTGTCACATCAAGTCTTACAACACAGGAAGACTGGAAAAAAAGATCACTCTGGATCCGAAATTGCAGTTTATCAGTTAGTTTTGCTGGGGAACAGCAAGTTCTCTAACACTGCACACACAGACACTGAGCAGTGGGTCAGTGGGGCACCCTCAGTGTGAGGGTGACACAGCCCTGGCTCACTCCATCCCAGGTGTATTTTCCCTGGGAAAAGGATCATTTCCAGCTTCTTCCCCTCTGCCGTGGGTAAACAATGCTATTACCACACCCTGGAAAATCTGATTGCTGTTACAGGGGCTGGCTCGGAAGGGATGTGCCAGGGACAGAGTGTCAAGCTCTTGGTTCACAGAGCACGGCGAGTGTGGATGTCACCACTGCCACCTCCCAGCACAGATCTGTGCACACTGCCAAAAGGTTTTGTACAAATATTTGTATCCTCCTAGTAGAACTCCATCCAAGGCGTGGCTCCTCTTTTTCCCTCAAGCTTCGCAATTCTGTTTAATATTAATCTAGAACCACCCCAAGGCAAACAGCTGTGTTCTTTTTGCGCACACAATTGTGCAAGAAAATTTCTTTCCCACTCCTGCACACGTGCTTGGGATATAGCTCTGGTCAGCTAAGCTGATTTCTGCAAAGCACTTGCTCAAGGTGCTTTAAAATCCTCCTTCCCAAACACATGAGCAGTCTGTGAGCACACAACCTGACTGTGCACTCATAAAAGAGTTTCAAAGAATGTGACCATGTGGAACTTGAAATGAGTCATCTTCCATCAAGCTGCAATCAGTGATGAAGGCCTGAGCCAAGGTTTTATAACTTTTACCATAAAACCCAATAAAAATCATGCTTCAGCTCAAAGAATGGAGCTGATAACCAGATTTCAGCCTTTCCAAGTGCTGGAGCTGCATCAGCAATTGGCTTTATCCCCATCTAGAATTGACCAGATCAGCTTTGGTTTGGCTTTAATTAATTTAAACTCTAATTACTTTTTCATCTGCTGTATTTACTCCATTTCTCCTGAAATAAACTAGTAGGCATTTTTGCTACATCCATGACTTATACCAAATTTCGAGACACTCTTCTCCAGGAAAACATATGGTCAGAACATTGGAAAGATTGTCTCATCACCAGTGAAATCTTATGAATTACCAGAAAAGAGTGGCAAATTTCCCCTTGGTTTCAGTGGGGCCACAATTTCAACCCTTGAGCGAACTCGGTGGCATGGAAAGAAACGCTCAAGCTCCTTTCTACCTCCTTCATCCTTCAGCTGTCAGTGGGTTGGAAAACAGCACAAATACAGGGTGGAGAGTGTTGAAACCACCACCCAATGACCAACACGTCATGGGGCTGTACCACCCTTTGTGGGTTGGGTCCCCACTTTGCTGAGCACTCAGTGGACAAGCACGAAAAGCTTGGAATCAGTAAAACAGTATCATCCACGCTATCCCACTATGAAGACACTGGATGAGCAGGGACCAGAAATGCTGGGATAGGTCCCAGACTTTCCCAGAGAAGACGGATATAGGCACAGGTTAACAGAGTGGGTTTTCTCATGCTCAGCATTAGTCCCTGTGACACTCAGTGTTTCCTCCAGTGTTTTGAAAGGGCACTTGATGGTCACTGGTACCCAAACCTACAAAGCTCCACCTCCTTCCTAAATACAGCCAGTGGGAAGTGCAGCAAAAGGCCAAGCCTGGATTGGCCCTTCAGTACTGGTGCTACTGGTGGCTCATGGCCTGCTGTAACCACCATGAGGACAGAACAACTGAAGGGCTTGGCTGTGACGCACATCCCTGCTCGGGGGACACCTGAGTCATCTCCTCCAGGAGTGCTGCCTGCGTGCCCTGTGCCACCAAGGAGCAGCTCTGCCACTGAAAGGATCATGCCCTGGCTGTACCTTGCCCTGAGAGTTGCAGGAAGCTATATGAGCATCAGCCAAGTCGACCACACTATCTGAGGTAGTCAACTAATGGCATTTATGAGAATGGCAGATCCTCACTGAGATTGGCACAGCTGGGATTAGGAGTAGCACTGGTAGGTATGGAGAGAGGAAATTACTACTCTAAAGCACTTAGAGACCAAACAAACCCTGAGGAAGCTCATCCCTTTCCCAGTACTACTTTCCAGCCTCCCAGGAGAGGTGAATAATGTCACCAGGATCTCATTGAAATTCAGATAAAATGGGAAAGGGGGCTTTCAGCCACAACAAAAAAGTCTCTCACTGCAACCAAAAAAGCATTATCTCTCCAGCCAGGGCTGCTGCTGTTCTCCATAATACTCTGCACTGGGAGCAGGGTCTGAGACAGAAACAGGCAGTTTGTAAATGTCTCTTTGCACCTACCTTCTTTCTTCATGCCAGCTCTGAAGCACTTCTTCAGCCTACAGTACCTGCACTGGTTCCTCTTGTCTTTGTCTATCACACACTGTCGACTGAACCTGGGAGGAGATGGGAAAGAAAACATGGAGCAACCAGCCTGGCATCTGCAACCCCCTCACAATGAGCACCCCCAAATACAGCCCCAGACCTCCCTGATCTTCTTCATGGACCTAGAGAAAAGCCAAAGATTTGCAAGAAATGGGTTGGATCAACATTGGCTTGGCCCAGCTCCTCATCTTCCCCGGCACTGCTCCTGCCAGATGGGAGCGTAGCGACTTCAGACCACCCACCCTGCAGAGACTGGGATGGTTTTGGCTGTGAAAGCATGACTGTGACTGGAGCTGTACTGCTGTAGGAGCTCCATCTCCCACTTTCAGACGATTTTTGGGTATTTGGTGTTGGGGTTTGTCTGACTTCCTTGTTATCTGTCCCATTTCATGTACAATAACTGCATTATGGACCACAAGTCTTTTGTGTCTGTGGCCTTGTTTTGAGGCACGTGGCCACCTAATTCATCCTCATTTCTGTGGGGATTTAGGAACGTCTGTGCTGTTCAAGGGGTGGCCCAGGCAGACTTGGCAGCTCTTGCCATGTTGGGTGAAGCGATGGAAGAGGAATCTGCTGTGCAGAGAGGAGATGACAGGGGTTGCTCCGGGACCATCACCAGGTTGTAAATGCAGGGGCAGTTTCCCAGACTAGTTAAAAGCCAAAGGTACAAAGGCCCAAAGACTTTTCAGTTACTTCATGTACCAGAGCTCTGAGCTGGGTTGAATGCAGCAGAGCTCACCAAATAAGGACTTGCAGACAAGCTTGGCCATTTCCTTGGCTTCGACGCTGTGGATCTTTCCTGAGCTGCCAAATATCACAGACATTCATGGATTCCTGGGAAGGGGCGGCAACTCCACTCCCAGGAGACTGATAGCTGAAATTCCAAAGAAACCAGTAGTAGTTGTAGTCTCCTCCCTCAGGAATCCCATGGTGCATGGGATGGGCACCATGTGGGTGGACACTGCTGTCACCCCAAGTGTCTTTCATGGTTGGTGTGCCCTGGAGTGATAAGGACACCAGGAACATTTTGAACAGTTAGGATGACTCACATTAGAAAAATTTAAAATGCCCTTAGAGGAGGAAGAGCTTTGGAACAGAAAGAAAACTTCCAGGTTTTAATCAGAGATGAAGAATTTGAGTGTATTCAGGTTTGGGGTTTTTTTCCCTTTTCTCCTGTGCTAAAATAAACACCATTTTCCTAAGGTCAACCAAGATAGCAGATTTATAATTTATAGCCTTCTCCTGGTCAAAAAATCCTCTCAAATGCATACCTGTGCCAAAGTGGATGTGAATCATCTCTGGTCCACGCTCATTTCTCAGAATGATCATACAATCACCAGTGATATGTCAGTACACATCATTTATTTTATTTCAAAACAGAAATGGAGATGCTGTGAGGGGAGGGATGTGTGGAGGCTTTGGAGGTGACAGGCTCTTGGATGCTTGTTCTTTTTTACAGAGAAAATCAAGAAAAACTGGTTTTGAGATGAAATCTCTGGAGCTTTGTTCCTTTGCCACTTTGGCTTCCCCTTACTGGGCTGTGACAAGTTCATGGTGTCACTCCACACTCAGGGCCTGTATTTATGTATTTTACACACCAGTCAGGTCTATGATTTTCCATTGATTTGCACCACGGGGAAAGTAGTGATGCTGAATTCTTTAAAGGGATTTCTCAGTGCCACAGAAGGCCTCAGGGTCCAAGACGAGATAGGACTGAGTTTACTCCTCATCTCCCTGTCCTCCAGCCATAAACCAAACTACATCCCTACTGCTGGCACCCATGGCGCAGCAATTTGGCATTTGACACGGTGGCCTCTTCATTCAACCTGATCTCTCCAGCCCAAATCATTCACAGCGCCCAGAAATTGCATTTTAATCGCACCGGGGGCAGGTACCTGCAGGAGTAGACGTGGTTCTTGCGGACGCTCCTCCTGAAGAAGCCCTTGCAGCCGTCACAGCTGGAGGCCCCGTAGTGTTTGCCGGTGGCCCGGTCCCCGCAGATGGAGCACAGGGAGCTGACGCCATTGGGGAGCAGGTTGGTGTTTGCTGATTCAGCTGCGATGGCCTCTGTGGGCAGAGAACAGGGACCATTAGACTCCCCCTGTGATGGACACCAGAGCCAGCCAAGGGGCTTTGTGCAAGCAAACAGCACCAAGCCAGCCCCACACGTGCTAGAAAAGCCTCCAAACTGGTGGTCGTGCTCTTCCCAACCTCCCCTGAGAGTAGTTCAGTTGCTTTGCTTCCGCCATCAACATTTTCCTTTGCTTCGGTGAACAGAGGGATTTCAAGCTGCCTAACCCTTCAACTGCTTGTGAGGATTTATCAATCATCACTACTTTTTTTTTTTTTTAGAGATTTAGAGAAACCTCACCTGAATGTGAGATACATGTTTTTGAGGGATGGAGAGCCACCTCCTCAATTAGTCACCTGGAGAACATGGTTTAAAGCTGGTGTCTGCAGAGGACAATGGACAAAAACTCCTTAACTTGAATAAACAGAAAGCAGAGAAGAGGTGGCAGAGGCACAAAGGATGAACTGCTTCATGCAATGACAGAGGTGTTGGAGATAAAAGGCTGCTCTTGAGAGCTCCTCTACAGCTGAAAGGCAGAGACAGCAGCTCCCACAGGGATCACTTTAGTTCTAAGTCTGGTTCCTGCTCTGAAATTCCCTCTGAAGAGCTCATTGCTTTCCACTGGAAAGCAACAGAGGTGTGCAAGAAGATCAGCCTTCTAAATTGGGGACCTAAAATTAGGTCATATGAATGCCCTCTGTCATGTCTTCCATTTGCACCCCCTCATTTGGGGCAGGAATAGCTCTACCCCTGCCTGCCCTGGGCTGTGTGTACACACTGCTGAAGACTCCCCTTGGAACCTCTCCCTTGGCTTTAACCACCAGACTCTCTGCCCTCTTAATCCTCCTAATTTGAGGCACAGCCCGGGGATGGAAAAATAAGGAGACACTTGCGAAGACGCAGATGAGTGTTTACATCTCACCAAGAGGAGGAATATTTGTGGAGTCTGCCCTGACCTGGGCACCCACTGCAGGATGGTTTTATGAATTTATCACACCTCTGGGAGCAGGTTCTGGACTCCAGGGGATCTGATCTTGTGCTACAGTGACCTTGGAAAAGTCTCGGGGACAAAGACACATCCTGACATGTCTCTGGGATGACACAGAAAAGATGGGCAGGGATGAGGAAAGCTCAGCTGATGTTGTATTGAGCAATGAGAAATCTTTGAGAAAATTACTCAAAGGGGAGGAATTGTCATCTGGTCTGGACAGCCCAGAGGGAATCTTCTAATCCAGAAGGCGTAAAAATAGCCCTGGGTAATCCACACATGACATGTGTATATACAGAGAGTGAGAGAAGGCTATTTTTGTGTATGAATACACATCAAAAATTTATAGTGAAAATATTTGCTGTGCAGTGAAAGTTGTAATCAAAAGCCCCTCAAAAATAATACAGCCAATAAAGCTTTAGTTTTTCAAAAACTGGAAAGTTTTTTAGCTAAGGCTGAGACTAAGACATTTTTAGCTAAGACTTCACAAATGCAAAGGTCAGAATTCCCCTCAGTCCCTAAAAAAACCCCTTTTGGTCTTTATTCACCTTCTGATGTATGGATGAATAAATAAGTAGGTTGCAGCATTATGGGAGCAACATGACAAGAAAGAATGACAGTATTAAAATCATTCTTAGGTCATAATGACAGAAATTGAGATTTACTTGTTCCCAAAATCTGTGTAAGATGGTCCCAGCTCTGACATTTGTCAGTAAGTGACACTTGGGTCCTTTGGGAACATTGCCTACATCAGAGCTGTTTAATGGTAATTTACATTGATTTTTAGGGGTTTTTTTTGCCATGATTCTTCATTTTATTTTACTTAATAACTCAGTATTAAATGAGCTGTACTACAATATTCCCTTGAGGATAATTTTGCTGCTAAACATATGTGCATCTGTTGTTCCATCTATTTTTTTGAAGGAGCACATGACCATAAACAAACGTGCTGAGTGTGCTGGATTCCATTTAAAAAATTGCACAACAAAAATAAAGATAAGAAGGCCAATTTCCTCTTAGCTCCACTTGTGCTTTCTCTAGTGACTTCAGGGGAATCAAGCCAAGGTCATCCAGTTTGGGTCTCAAATGGACCTCCAGTTCCTGATGCTGCAAAGTATTTACTCACCAGAAAAGATTTTTTTTCCTTTATGTGAGTAAGATATTTGAGGAGCTGCTGGCTGATAAAAGGAAGAAATTAAAAATCTGGCCTTAAACCAAGTATTACTGGAGGAAGGACCATCAGCACTATGTGTGTGAGGGCCCATGGAAATTGGTAAACTAAATTTTGCCCTCACTTGTACCCGTGGAAACACAGACAAACTGCAAGTGAGTTGGGTGTTACACAGCTGAAAGGTCAGTCCCTGCTCAGGAGCCATGTGTCCTTTTCAGCTTGGCTGAACGTGAACAGCAATAATAAAAAAGAAAAAAACAACACATTAAAGAAAAGGAAAGCCCTAAGTCAGAATGCACATGTTAATTATGACAATAAATTTTAATTACAAAATCCTGTCACCAATCAACTATGACTTCCAAGTGAGAATTAGCTCAGAGAAGAGCAAAGGCATAACTGGTATCCCACACACCAGAAGAATATTTTGACGCAGCTTTCAAACCTGTCTGGTATTTGGGGAATTCTGGATTTTCCCTGGGTTGACCACTGTGAGAAAAGGCAGAGAAAGGCCAGGATCCGTGCCAGCACAGCCCCCTGCCTGTGAAATCTGCTTCCTTCACTCCATCCCTGCCTGACACCAGGTGATCACCTGCTCAGGGCTTCATTTCCCACGCTGTGCCTCTTTGCTACCTGGAGCTCAGCATTACCCAGAGCTGAGCTTGAGGGCTACTAGGATGGATCTGACCAGGACCCACCTGGCTCACAACAACTGTGCCAAGCTCACTGTCCTCACCACCTTAGAAAGGGATGTTGAGAGTTATATATTGGTTATAGATGCTCATCACCATGGTAAACAGAACAGCTCCTAAACCACGCCACGATGCCTCTGGAATTTCCACTGGAGAGATGCAAGTGATTGTGTTCTCCACAAAGAGGCCATAACTCCTCCTGACCTTGTGTGGGCCCCAAGCTGAGCTGAGGACTGGTGGTTATGTCCAGGCTTCTCCCTAGGACTGGTCCCAAGGGTCACTGGCAGAAAAATCTGAATTTCAAACATTTTTTGTGAGTTATATATGATCAGTGTGCAGGTTGGGAGTTACATTCCCAATGCTGATGAGAGTATCCCAGTGGCTTCACCAGTTTTGGGATCAGCCAAGCTCACAAATGAAATATATCCCAATTTTTGGTATCTGCTGCCTCTGTTTGTAAGTCATTACCTAACCAGGGCTGAAATGGTGATGCCAGTTTTGCAGTGATAGGAAATGATAGTGAGGATGTTCTCGTGATATGTGGCCAATTCCTGCTTTTCCTTTCAGCTGTATTACTGGTTACATCTCTTCTAGATGCACATTGTATAAAAGAGAATGGTCTTGCAATGCTTTCCAAAATGGCTTTTCCTTTAATCTACCCAGGAGTCCAAGCCAGTCTCGGTGCACGTAATTTGCAGCTAAGAAATTCCTGAATTCCACGTGCTGGGCTAGAACGTGAAGAGATCCCCAGTGTGGGTTTGCACACACAGTCAAAGTTGGTGGCCAAAGCCAGCATTGCAAAATCTGTGCACACAGACGTAGGGCAGGATGGGGGTTAGCACTGAAACCCAGGCAGGTCAGTGGCTTTCTACAGCAGCTTTTAGCAAATACAAGGGGTTTTGAGATCTAAAACATAGCTTTGATTTAGTGTTCCCGAATCCTACAGGAACAATGATGAAGAGGCCAGCCAGAAAGGCCAGAGTTCCTCCCAGGCAAAATCTGCAGCTTGAGGGACGGCCAAGCACTGCCAAAACAGCTCTGGTGGCTTTTTTGTGGTCTGAATTGGGTCAGCAGTGGGGCTGGGAAAGGTGTTTCACCAACCCTGTGCCAAAGTCCCAAGGATCAGTGTGGTGGTTGAGTGCTGAAACAGGAAAACGAGCCCCACCGTGGGAGAAAACACTGCCTCAACTAAAGAATGAGTGCAGAGTTGCAATAATGCTTCATATTTTAAGCAAAATGAGACAACTCTGACAAGAGCATGAGGAAAGGGGTATTAACAGCACATAAAAACTAAGTGAGAATATGGCTTGTAACACCAGCCAAGGTAAAGGAAAGAAGTTTGTACAGAATGGGAAAATTTCTGCTGGTACAACACATATTTTATAAAGGAAAGAAGGAATTAGCGTTGATTTTTGTTTGTTTCCTTTTGCCATTCTTTCTATTTAAACCAGACAATTTGTTATATTTCTCCCATAATGGATTCTATTCTTTATTTTGAATTAGTCTCAAAACATCTGGTAAAATATGGGCTACTTAAAGGTGGAAAATCCAAAACACCTCTCTAGGCAAATCTCAGACCAACAGCAGCTTCCTGAAGAAGAAAGCTCAGAACCCAAGATGCTCCACAGCACTAATCAACCCAAATTTTTGATAATGTTCCACACAAGGAAAGAGTTGGTTTCAAGAAAATATTCTAATTTTCACATTTGAAATTGTTAAGAGTGTAAGAATCCATTACAATAAATATTGCATCCCTTCCTGTGTTAATGAGGGCAAAGCTGCCATTAGATTCAATAGGGGAAAAAATACACACAAGTCTTGGGAAAAATACGCCTTAAAACAATCCAGTATAATTGTAAAAGTACCTAAAATGAGATTAATTCCTAACAAATTTTAAATTATTTCTGAAGCTACAGAGGGAAGTGTGATTTGGAGTTACCCCTGGGAACTGAATTCAACTGGTAGGCAATATATTTCCATGCATGGACATTTCAGGTCTTTTTTGAAGTTATTTTTACAAACTGTAGAAGAGGACACTTACCCAAGACAAACAAGCTAATTTCAAAACAGCTCGTTCCCGAGAGAACCAGTTACTCATTAACAGCTCAACAAATAACACAATCCCGATCTCGATAAAGTTCAGAAAAGACTCAACCTGTCAGTTCCACTGCATGAATCACCAGAGAGCCCCAAACAGGCTTTCGTGGTTCATTTGCAAAACAATTTTGAATTTTGAGGAAATCTGTACCACTTCAAAAAGTGAAAAGCATCTTGTTGTTCAGCAGCAAGCGACAAAGAGAAACATCTGTGTTAAATATCATTTCTGGAGTAGGATAGGAGGAAAGGAAAACCTTTCTGCAAGGATAAGAAATAAGAGCCAGTCTATCTGCAGTTGGCAAAAATATACATTTAGTTGGGGACAGCCAGAGCTTTATTGAAGTCAAACTTAAATTCAAATTTCTATGGACCTTTTAACTTTACTATCCCTCTGTGTCCCACAATAATAAGTTTAATCATTTTATATTGTGGACAATAGCCCTAATGAAACTCTGATTGCTTTTGATGAGCCAGCTAATGAGCAAACATGAAAATCCCATCTTAATTTCGCTAAGCTCCTTAACAAATTTAATGAAATGCAGCCAAAACTCTCCAAAGGCTTTGCTAACGTTGGGATCTCATTCAGTTACACGGTGGTTTCATGCAATATGACCAAAATGCCCTTTATTTTTACACAGTGAGCAGTTAGTTTCACAGAATAGCATTCACTTTATGTCAGAGTAGTTTTGACTGCTCGAAAACTAAATAACAAAAACTAAATACCACAAAATGAGCTTTATTTCTGTGAACAAAGCGGAAGTCTCTGCCTATAAACACTCCCGCCTCGCAGCCAAGTTCTTTTGTGCCATAAAAACTGTTGGACCATCTTAAAAATACAAGTAAAGTAATGATTTGGATGTTGTTTCTCAGACTAAGTCCTTAGGAACAACTTGAACGGGACACACGATCATAGACAAATGTCATTTGAGACGACTTGTTTTCCCGAGGATTAAATATCGACCTAAGTCATAGACGGGAACGAAACACGCATTTGAAGGAAGAAATATTGGTATTAACTCGTCTCATAAGCCATACAGGGGGACAGATCTAAGAAGTGCCATGAAAAACTCTACCAGCACTTGCCAAACTCTTTGGGACATGGCGCTCAGCCCACCAAGGAAAAGAACAACTCAGAATGGCACCGGCAAGCGAAAGGGTCGCATTTCAGCCCAAACACAACCACGGATGCCACAGGTTGACAGATCAGCTGCTTAAATATTACCCTTCCACCCTTTGCCCCACACCTCCCACCTGTCTTTCCCAGGATCTCAACTTTGCAACAGAGGTAGTGGAGGTTATTCAAGAGGAAACGAACAAAAATCTCACCAGTGTTATTGGGGAGCACCCGGAGGTTGTCGAATTCCAGCATGGTGTAAGAGGAGTCCAAGGAGTCCACATAATCTGGCATATCCATGTCCATGATGGACTGACAAAGCTTCATTATTACTTGACAACAGCGAGGGAAGTGGCAAAAAACAGCCCAGCTGTCAATCACGGCCAAGGTTTCCTCTGCAGAGAGACACCCCGGCCCTTGCGATGACAAATCATTACCCAGCTCTGCCCACAGTCCCCTCCCCGTGCCAGGGGAGAAGGGACGAGGCCGTTCCCTGTGGTGTGCACAGTCCCCTCCCTTCCCGGGGTGCATCGGTGCTCCCTCCTCCTGATAAGGTGATGTAGATAAGGCCTAGACTCAAACACTTGGATTGCATCTTGGGGTCAACACAACCCCATTTATGGCTCTTCCTGCACAAACATTTGGAGAAGGGCTGTGCAGAGGTGTTCACACACATGTGTCGCTCTCCCAGGGCACAGCAGTGGTCACGTCAAATCACATCCCTGCCAGTGGCACCTTGCTGGGCTCCCAGCCCCTGGGGAAACGGCAAGTGATGTCACTTGAGGCTTGTGAGGACAATAAGTCAGTGTCACCAGTGGCTGAAGGCCATCAAGACAGGCCAGCACTGAGAACCTGAGGCATTGCCCAACAGTGCTGCACATGGATCACACCTTGAGTTGCTGCTGGAAGGGAAAAATGAGGCTTCATTCCAGCTGTAAACATTGTTTCACAGAGGGGAGGTGGAGGAGGTGACTTCTCCTGCTCATCACCCACTGCCCCTACCACCTGTGTCTTCTCCCTCCCAATTCCAGGCAGCCCCAGTGTCCCAGAGCTCCCACTGAGTAGGAGCTGGGTCGTGGTGTGAGTTGTCACAGTGGAAGATTTCAAGAGATGGTAAATGATGAAAATGGAAAAGGTTGGGAGGAACTGGGCACACTTCCTTGCAGATGTGTGGTGTTGAACTGGGCACGCTCCCTTGCAGATGTGTGGTGTTGCATTTCACGCTGACCCGTGCCTTTCTGGGAAAGGTCCATATTATGGAAATACAATTCCAGTTTTCCCCCACAGAACTGTGGTGGTGGTTTTCTTTGTTTTTAGTTTGTTTTGTTGTTTTTTTTTTAATTTACTGTATTCTACACAGAAGTTCTTCCCCTATTAAGACTCATCAGTTATATTGAAAATGACTGGAAATAAAACTCAGCCACTCAAAGTGATGTAGCTTGGAGTGATCGGTTTATTCCCGGATTCGTCTTCCAGATGCCTTCCCCGACACTACAGTTCCCTCTCCAGTGACGTTGTGTTGTGTCAGAGGGTCTTTCCTTTCCATGAGCTGTTGTGTGAGATCCAGGTCAAGGTCCTGTTGAATCTGGAGGAAAAGAAGAGTCTTGAGAAACAAGGGAATGTGTTGCCAGAAGAGGAGCCTTGGCCAAAAGAAGATCACTGCCAGACTGCCTGAACTCTCACTGAACCAAGGAGCAGCCCAGCCCCATGTATCCTATAAAGCTCCAAACAGCAAGAAATATGCCTAAACTGAGTTTTTAAGAGTCTTATTTATATTAATTTTGATTTAATCCCCAATTCATTTTTATTTTTAATGTATTTTTCCACACCCTGGGGATTTACAGTGGACATTGCAATGGGTTAACTGGAGATAGGCTTTTCCTCTATAAAGCTTGGGTGCAGAAGCACTTAGCTTTGCTTTCTTATCATTTCTGGGGCATAAAATAATTTCATGTGCCACAGATATTTTCTTTCTCCTCCTTTCCTTTTTTAAGGACATGCTGTAACTGGCGGTGCACAAATGACTCCTTGGTTAGATAAGATGTTATGTTTTTATCCTTGGACTGTGCCCCCAGGCCCTCAGTAATGCCAGCATCAGCTAAGTTTGCATCTGATTAGTTGTTCTTGTCTCTTACTCAATGTCAGCCTTGATTATGCCCATTAATCTGGCACTTTCCTTTTTTTTTTTAAACTGATCTATGGGTACAATCCTGCCTGATCCCCAGCACTCTGCTACTATTGCAGCTGAGTTTTCACATTCCTACAATTCCAGGGGTTTTTTTGTTGATTTCTCACCATTAAAATTGCCATGTATTGGTATTTACCAGGTTTTTGGGCAGTTGTGGCCCAGAGGGAAGAAATGTGGGCTCCTGCCCTGATATTGCTGGCTTGGGAGATCCCTCAATGTTTTCGATCTCTCAGTACAATCAGAGGGTCAAGGCTCATTTCTAAGGAAATCTGGGCAATGAGGCTGTTCTGGGACAATTTTCATTCTGGGAATGAGAAAAGGTTATAGAGCAAATTTCACAGCTCAGGACCAGATTTCAGCACCACATCCACACTGCTAATCAGGACTGGTTTTCTATGAAAGGTGGTGTTGGAGTGATCAACATGGCATTTGTGCTTCAAACAGGTGCCAGTGCCCTGTTCCAAATCACTCCAGCACAAAGTCATCCCTGAGGAGTGACAGAGCTTTGCCAAGGGTTGAACAGTTTCTTCCTTTTCCTCTCCTTGCTTTCTTACATCACTTTCTGAGCCACAGCTGCAGCTTGATAAGGCTGGGGTTGAGTTTTATGAACATCAGGAGAAATCCAGCTCCCTTGGAGATGCCCTCACATCTACTCCCACTGTTCATTGTCACAGGGAAGGGACACCCGTCCCAGCCAAGAGCCAGGAATCTCTAGGGGCCTTCTTCATTACCTTATGAAGATTGAGCCTGACAGAGCACACTATGGAGACATATCTCTCTGGTTGACCTCAAGCAAGTGTTAGGTATAAAAATCTACCCTTGCAAATCTCTCTTTGATGTGGGAAACAGGCTGGTGACAGGTGAGAGAGGGCTTGGGTTTGTCTTTAGCATCACCCTGAAGGACAGAAAGTACCTGCAGTCCCTTGGATCTTCTCATCAGCAGCAGGACATGGATCTGTTGGTCTGTGGTGGAAACATGACAAGCATAGGAGGCGCTTTGGGGACAGAGGGAATCTCAAGTCCTTCACACTCTAAGGACAGATTTAAAGGTAAGGATCTGTGAGGTTGACCAACAGCCCTCTGCTGAAACACTTTCCCCAGGATTTGAGCTCTCCATGGGGCACAGACGCAGCAGTCCTTGAGGACCTACTTCAGCTCCATCTGTGTGCAGAACTTCTGGCCATCCCTGCAATGTGCCAGTGCTGAGAAGAGCCAACCAGGTCAAACAAGGACTTCTAAATTAAATGTAGGAGGCTCTGGGAGAACCTCCTGGCTTCTGGGTTGAGAGCAGACCTGGTGGGCCCAAAGTCAGGACCTGATCTTTCTCCATCACCCATCTCTAACCTTCTCTAAATGCAGAAAAGAGATGGGACCACTCAGGTCCTTTCATAAGCCAAGCACAGGCAAAGGTAATTTCAACAGGATTCAGAGATATTAACCCCAGTATGGGTTTCCAGAGCTTTCACCAGAATTAATCAGGAAAGCAAAAAATCCTCTTCCTGTCTCATATTTCTCCATTTTCTCACCCAGAGGAGGAGCAGGGGGAGAGGGGGGTGGCATGTGCTCAGCATAGATGTTGAAGCTGCTACTGGAGCTGCAAGGGGGGGAGCTCAGCAGATGAGCAACCCCACTGGTAACAGCAGCAAACATTCCCCCACAGGCTTCTACACCCCAATCTTACCAAGCAGCCTTACAAGAGGGGATGAACTAGTATGGAAGAGCTCCCTCTGGGCTGCAGAACTGATGCTTTTGGAGGTGAGTTGAGCACAATTCATTGCAAAGAGACAGAACTGCATATTTTTTGCAAAACACCTTGTTGGTTTTCCAGTGAGGGGACAGGACTGAGGGTGTCTCTCCCTCCCTTGGGTGTTCAGTCATTGACTCACCTGCACAGGCATCTGAGGTGTGTGGATGACCAAAGGCAAAACTGGATGGTGTAACACAGTCTTCTTAGTGTGGAAATGGATGTCAATCCTCCTCCATATGGACATAATCCTCTTTTTAATGTGTTTTCCATTTATTCCTGTTTTGACTCAGCGAGGCTGGATATTGCTGGAGGGTGCAGGGGAAAGGGGAGAAAGGAGAGAAAAAGCAGAGTTATGTTTAATAAAAATAGTATGAATGTTCAAAGTTTGTGCTCTGGGAATGAATCAATATGGTTTCTCAGATGTGCTGCAGAGAGGACACAGGGCAGGCTCTGACCAACACATGGTCCCAATAAGACAACACACTTATTCCTAGAAATAAAATTCGGATGCTTTGGGGAATGCCTGTCGGACAAGATGAAGTGCAGATAAGATAAGAACACTTTGATTAATTAAGAGAGAACACAAAGTACTGTGGGCAAGGCATCAGAAACAACATTTTTTTGGCGAGGTAAGTGGTGGGAGAAGATGTTTGCAAGCCATGGAAGCTGCACACCCATCTCTGGAGGATGGAAAGGTTTTTAAAGGACATATGGGGAGAGGTGTCTGAGACACTAAAACTTAACAAAGACTTGTTGCTATGCAAAATGAAGAGGCAGACTTAAGCTTCTGTATTTTTGGCACAGAAGTTTTCTTCTTTTATTCATAGGAGCACATTTAAAAGCCCTACCACTGTTCTGAAGGTTTTGTCTGACTGTAATGCAGCAATAATTATACTTTTTCCTGAACTTGCAGGGTCCAGAAAATGGATTTTTATGCAATTAGCATAAATCCATCAATGTTCAGGTGGTTCTCAGATACCAGAAGCAACAGTAGCCACAGAATTACCTACTTGGAGAGATGGTGTCTGGATAAAACCAGTAATTTAAAGACAGAAGGCAGCAAGGCCCTGTTTCTGGGTAATGTATAATTAGAAACAGTTTGCTTCTGAGATTATAAGCAGTGTGAAATCATATCATTAGCATGTAATTACAGTGGCAGATATTTCAAAGTTATCAAGACCAGATGCTACTAAATCAGTTCCCTCCTTTCCTGGGTGCAGTTTGATATTTGTGTCATACCAACAAAACCCCTCTTTACATTTTCAGGTATTTCTTATTGCAGTGAACATTTCCACATGTTGTGACTTTCACAGCACAGTGAGGGGCTCCTTGTTCTTCTTCTTCTTCTGTTATCTCCACTAAACGTTTTGTCTGTGTGGTGATTATTCATAAAATAAAAACAGTTTAAGAAATTTCTCAAGTCCCCATTGAGATGGACAACGAAGTGATGGACATGGGAGGACATCACCCATCATACAGGGGGATGGAGAGGAGAAAAACAAAAGATCAAACTTTCACCTCCTTTCTCTCCAAGCTTATTTTGCTTTACTACTGCCAAACATGTTCATTTATCATTT